TAGGTGATGATGTTAGTGCGAAGATTGCCAAGTCGTTGGTGCTGTGATTGCCAGCACATGGTCACGTGATTGTACTTAGCAGCAGTTCCTTACCCTACTACACCATTGTTGGAGTACCGTGGCTGCAGGGGGCGGAGCTGTGCGGGTTGTTGCTGTGGATATTGCTGGAGCGTTCGATCGAGTCTCCCACCCACGTGTGATCCACAAAGCCCAGCAGTGCGGTGTATCCGGCATGCTCCTCGCATGGTTGAGGGACTACCTGCTGGATAGGCGCCTGAGTGTTGTCGTTGATGGACAGTCGTCCTGCCCACACCGCATCACAGCCGGTGTTCCGCAAGGTAGCTGGTTGGGGCCGACACTGTTCCTCCTCTACACGAACGATGCCGATGACCACCTTCCACCAGGTGTAGATCTGGCCGCTTATGCCAACGACACAACGCTGTTTCAGTGCCTGTCCACCATGGATAACAGTGACGCCCATTGGTCTGGATGGGCGCAGCAGATTGTCACTTGCAGCGACTTGACCAGATGCAACGCTCAGCCCTCCACTTGATTGGCCCCCGGCGCAATGCTGCAAAGCCTGTCTATCCGGCGCATGGTAGCTGCGTGTACCTACATTTACAAGCTACTGTGCTCCAATCCTACCAGCCCACTTCGTCAGCTCTTGCCTCCCTCTCAAGCCCTCCGACCAGCCCATGTTCGACCCACTCGTCTCTCTCTCGTCCGTCTCGACATGCATAACTACCAGCTTGAGACTGGGTTACCTATCAATAGCCGGGAAAGTTTCCGTAGAGCTTTCCCCGCCTGTGCTGTCCCTGTATGGAATGTCCTGCCAACCGCCGTCCTCAGCCAGCCACCTGACCGAAAACGGCTGCAAAGTTTCAAAGTGTCTGTCTTCCTGCACCTCCGTGCCCAGCAATGGCACTGGGCCACTGACACCTTGTAAGATGTATGCACATCTGCCCACACACTGCTGCATATTGCCATACGCCTCGTGCCCTGCTTACTCTTTTCTCTGGATCTGAATGTGCACCCCTTACGCATTATAAAATTATACTTTATTTAGTTCTCTCCCCCTCTCTTGCCCCCAACCCTCCCCGCTCTCTCTCTCTCTCTCTCTCTCTCTCTCTCTCTCTCTCTCTCTCTCTCTCTCTCTCTCTCTCTCTCTCTCTCTCTCTCTCTCTCTCTCTCTCCCTCTCCCTCTCTCTCTCTCTCTCTCTCTCTCTCGCTCTCTCTCTCTCTCTCTCTCTCTCTCTCTCTCTCTCTCTCTCTCTCTCTCTCTCTCCTCTCTCCCTCTCTCCTCTCTCTCCTATCTCTCCTATCTCTCCTATCTCTCTCTCTCTCTCTCTCTCTCTCTCTCTCTCTCTCTCTCTCTCTTTCTCTCTCTCTATCTCTCTCTTTCTCTCTCTCTCTCTCTCTCTCTCTCTCTCTCTCTCTTTCTCTCTCTCTCTCTCTCTCTCTCTCTCTCTCTCTCTCTCTCTCTCTCTCTCTCTCTCTCTCTCTCTCTCTCTCTCTCTCTCTCTCTCTTTCTCTCTCTGCTATTGGCGCGCCTGGTTGTGATGAAGCCGAGACCCAAGGTCGGCAGAGCATCCCAGACCACGCCACCACTCCCCTTATTCATGGCTCACACATGACGGGTTTACGTGGCTCTAGTAAAAAAAAAGAAAAACAGTTGAGGTGTAGGTGCTATAACCAGTGATATGCGACATTTTGACATTAAATTTTGTGTTGGACATGAAAGAAAATGATGAAGCAGCGCAACGAAGAATAGCAGAAAACAACAATGACAATTGTCTGACCCTGACACACAGAAAGAATGTGAAAAAGGTGCAAGCGTGAAGAAACATAACAAGTGTTTAAAAAATGTAAAAACCAGTAGAGTAAGTTTCGCACGCCCGTGTTAAAACCGGCTATACGGTGTTGGGAAACACAACCAGCTTAGGAAGTTGCGCGTGTATACCTATTCTAGTGATTATACGAAGAAGACTATGCTTCTCGTAAAGCCTGGCATGGTTGATGAGGCGTCTCGCATTTTCCAAAATAGCGGTATACGAAAAGTCACTGGTGCTGTGAAATACTTGGGTTCGCAAATTGGTGAGATTGATGCAATTGCAAGCAGTGTGCGGAAAACAGTTGAAAATGAATTATTTGAAGTTGCGACGCCTTACTGTCTTTGCGCTTACAGAACTGCATGCCGCCTATTCAGCTATCAACCACGGCCTTCGTGGTCGATGGACCTACATGTTGCGCACCGTCCCATTCCCCACTGATTGTTTGACTTCTCTTGACCATTATCATGGCGAATGAATTATTGCCGGCACTCAAAGGGAGAGAAATCTTTACTGATGAAGAGCTAGCATTACTGTGCCTGCCCACGTCCACGCGCCTTGGCGGGCTTGCTATCCCGCATTTCCAGCGGATGGAGGTTTTTGAATTAACCTTGTCTCGGTCCGTGACTGATTTCCAGATGGCTGAGATTGTTAACCAACAAGATGCATAGTGGTTACCATGGTTACCTAGATCTTCAAGTGCCATGATGGAGCCGGCGTTGCGAGCAAAGTCCGCTGTTGGTCGAGAGCGACGCCTGGAGGAATTGTAGGTAAGTAAGTTTTTATTTTAATTCGCATAACCAAACGGGCGGTGTCGCCCAATTACATGGAAGCGAATTGAAACAATAATATTATTGTAGGAAATAGCCTAACATGATAGCAGGGTGTAGTACAAAGCAAAGAACGCTCAGTCAATGAGTAACGTTAACGGTAGAATACAACACGGGGAGGCGGTAAACAGCACATGACTGGTACTGTGGAGTACCGCAAACGTTCAAATGTTCCTGTAGTGTTCAGTAGTGGGTGCTACTGCTAGCAAGACAGAACGGGAGGCAGGCTTGTTTGAACTAGTGGTACTACTGGGTAATACCACGCACGTCGGATGGCAGGGTGTTCCCTATAATGGACCCGCGAGCGGTTGGACGGTCGTGGCCGTCTTTCGAGGCATATTTGGGCACTCGAAGGCCCAAGCTGCTTTGCCCGCGCGTTATGGGAGAACAGGGACGCTCCAGGAGCTGAAGGGCTTGCAGTGCACTGCTTGCCCAACCAATCCAGCAACGCCAGAGAGGTATTTTGCTTGTGGAGCTCTTCGATGCCATACAGCTGCAGACGAGCAAGCAGAGGTTGGGCGCTTGTGCGAGGTGGCAGGCCGAATACGGCGCATGCCGCACGGTTTTGCTGGACCTGAAGGCAACCAGAGAACGCCACGGACCCGTAGAGCAAACCTGGCATCACAACGGATTTCTCGTTTCTCTGGACCTTCTTGTAAGGCAGCGGCGGGCTCTCCAGAGTGCTCCCACCTTATGCGAGACCTTCTTTACAGCATTGGTAACGGGGATTTTTTGGTTTTTTTTACAGAATGCACCTCCTACTGATAGACCATAACAAAGAAAGGAGAAGAAGAAGACAAAAGAAAATAATGATCGAGACAACAAAGGAGAAAGACAGACAATGTACTAGTTGGGGCTCTCAGGGAGCCTGTGCCGGTGAGGCGGGACTAGCAACGCCGACCTAGGGTCTCGGCGTTAGCGCTATCCAGCGCACCATAGACGGGATTACGAAACACACATGTAAATAGATAGGTGAGGGGGGAGGGAGTTGATTGTGGGTATATGGGGTGTTACAGCGAGTCTGTAGCCCAATACCAGCGGCTTTGTCGTAGGTGCTGATGCACTTTGCCCTTGAACGACTGGAGGGACGTCGGGCGTGGCGGAGACTGCAGCACAGTTGGGGGCAAGTTGTTCCACTCGTCAATGATGCTGTAGGGGAAGCAGCGTCGCCCATAATCAGGAGAGGACGCTGGGAGGACGTTCTGTAGCTGAGACTCGTGGCGCACCGAGTGGTCGGACCGAGTTCAAGGACATGTTGGTGGAGGATGCTGTGGGGAGACCAGCGACGTTAGTTGCGGTGGCCCTGCCAGACACATCAGTTTATACATATGCATGTAGGTGAGGGCGGCGACCAATCTCCTTGCTGCCAAACTCTGGAGGAGTACATCAGGGCCAAGAATGTTGAGGGCGCGTCTCTGCACTCGATCAAGAAGGCGCAGATGGCTTGAAGCTGCTCCCATCCATACCAATGGCGCATACTCTAGGACTGGTACGTGCCATCTCCACGCTCCGCCAGTTCCGCGCCAGCATGATACCGCACACACTTACTGGCCTTAGTACCTAGAGTACCAGACGTCCTGTTTGATGATCAGCTGGCTTAGTTTTTCTCCACCTCTATCCTAATTACATCAGTCCCCAATTTCATTTATTACTGCTTTCTATCTGCATTCGCCACCTTTTCATTGGGCAGATCTGCCCGTTTGGTTTGCGAATTAAAATAAACACAACAACAACAACAACAACTGGCCTCACAAAACCTCGGTGGACGGTTCGTTTACCAGCACCATCGAGTATGCGAGCAGCTTTGCGCAGGAAGCCCAGGCGAGAATTCGCCTTGAGTGCTGTGTTGTGGAGGTGGGTCTTGAGGGAGAGGCCCGAGTCAAATGTGATGCCGAGGAGTTTTACCTCCGATAGCTCAGACACAGTGTGATCTCAAAACGTGAGGTCCATGATAGGCCACCTGTGCTGCTGATGGGCTATCGTCATGAGCTGTGACTTTGTGGGCTCAAACTTGATCCGCCACTTCTTGCCCCAGTCATGGAGCGCATCCAGGGTGGCTTGTAAGCTTTTCTTACTGTTTGGGAGCAGTTCCGGTGATCCAATACAGGTGTAGACCGTTGTATCATCGTCGAAGGTGGCCAGTGAACATCCAGGAGCTAGGCACTGCTCCGCATCGTTTACATAGATGAGGAACAGAGTTGGCCCCAGTATGCTCCCCTGGGGTACTCCCGACTCTATGGGTACGGCGACGAACTCTGGCCATTCACAACAGCCTGTAGCTTCCTGAGGGACAAAATTAATCTGTCAGCCAGATCAGGGTTCTGCCACGGACGCCGAGTGTCTACAGCTTGTAGGTGACTCCGATGTGTGATCCCTTGTCGAAGGCGCCTGCGATATCTACCGCAAGAACCATCGAGCATCCTCCACTTCCAGTGGTGAGAGTCCACTCATACACCTGTTCGTCAAATCGAACGTGCTCGCCTATCGTGATGCTCAGGTACTTCGCATGGGGAACTACTGGCAGCGAGTTTCCACGGCATTTGAAAGTAATGTCTTGGCCCGAAATTCGCAGGACATGGCTTTTGCTATTGTTCAGGATTAGATTCCGTTCCTGGAGGCGGTTAGGTATCTCGTTTGTAGACTTTGTGAGAAATCGCGATACTTCAAGGCAATCAGACTGGCTAAACGTGAGAGCAATATCGTCAGAAAACTGCACTGAGAGGGACGGGCTGGCAATGGTGGGAAAATGCCTGGTGTAGATGTTGAAAAGCACGGGTCCGAGAACGGGACCCTGCGCCGGCTGCGGGACGCCACATGAGCATGTGCCACTGACACCAATGGATCCAGCGATTTGCACTTGTTGGTTGCGTCCTTCGAGGTAGTCAGCAAACCATCGGAGTGCAGTGCCGTGAAGGCCAACTTCGAAAAGATCGCGTACAAAAATGTCACGCTTGACTTTGTCGAAAGCCTTCGACATAGTGAATAGGTACAATGAGAGTCTTAGTTCTTATATTTTTCAAATTGTATTTTTAAACTGTATTATGTGCTGCTGTAGTTTTGGAGCGGTACTAGATCACTCACATAGTGATAATCACACATTTTGTTTTCTTTTGGGTAACAGAACAGAACGGGTTACACAACAGAACAACAAGCACAATCAAGGCTTGTTTGCTGCTACTTCAAGTTTCATGCTCATCCAATCATCATGCCTGATCATTGCGTGAGCATGCAACATGAAGTAGCAGCAAACAAGCCTTGATTGTCCTTGTTGTTCTGTTGTGTATTACGCTCTGCCTTGGTGGTGTTGAGCACTGTCAGCACTCTGGGTACATCCTTTGGTGAACAGAACGGGTTACATATTTTTCCTTTTCTGGTTTTCTGGGTTTACATTTTGGACTAAAGGGACCCTCACATAATTTTTACCGACTTTCCCGGCAAAAAACACATTTCGACACGCGTATGTGCTGGACGTCTGCGCGTGCACGACAAGACGTGTGAGCTGGCTGACAAGTGAGAGCCAGGGAGTCGTCAAGGACCGGCATTGGACTACTCCCGCCTGGTGAGAGCATGCATGTCCATTTTGTAGATCGATGGTTGAATGGTGGATCTACACGGTGTTTGTTTTGATGTTCTGATACTTGTTGTAATGGCTAGTGATCTTGCAAACTGTTAACTGTTACTGCGACTTTTCCAAGTCCTACTGATATACCTTGTCAAATCAGATGCCCTGTAGTAGTCTTGGTGGAGGCAGACTGGAATGCGTTGAAATCGTAGCTTCAAGGCTGAACTTGAAACTTATTTTTTCTGGAGTGACACTGACAAGCGATGGCATTGGCGACAGAAGAACTTTGCTTCCTTCCAGGAGAGCTGCATCACAGTCGGATCCTGTCCATGCACATGCGATCATGCTGTGTTGTAGACAGTGGAGAGCTGATTTTGACCCGAGAAAATATTTTTGAACATTCATGAAGAGGATATTGTTGCTGTAGCTAGCTGACAGACATAACCTGTGGCAGTGGTGTATGGAATCAAGTTACAAGGTCTGTAGCAACTTGATCATGCAGAGAAGGAGCTGAAGCGAGACGTGAAGGGTGCCATGCAGCTTACATGTGTGCATGTTCTAACGTTACTCTATGGTGAGGAACTGCACATACACTCGCTACTGCTCTCGCAAGGTGATTGGCTTCTCTCCAGTGATTCAGGCGGCCTCAAAGCATGGATCCACTGCACTTTGTTGCGGAACACATCAACATGCCTGTTGACGTACACTGGAAAAGATACGACTCTACGATGAGGACCTGTGTAGCATCTTGATCATGGCAGAGAAGGAGGTGAAGCAACTTCCGTTGGCGCATGTTCTAAGTTTTAACGGTACTCTACGATGAGGAGCTGCACACGCACTCGCTACTGCTCTTGCAAGGTGATTGGCTTCTCTCCCGTGATACAGGCTGCCTCAATGCATGACTTATCTGCACTTTGTCGCGTAACACATCAATACGCCTGACATATACACTGGACAAAGTTGTCACTCCACGATGAGGAGCACACAGCACTCGTGAAGGCTTATACAGGGTGAATGGCTTCTCCCCAGTGATGCATGCTACCTTAAAGCATGATGAGCTCTGTGATAAACACCGCGCGGTGTGTTGAAGAGAGGTGTGGAGCATGCCAAGCAGCTTGCACTGGTGATTGTTTTACTCTACGGTGATGAGCTGCACGTGGCATTTACTAAGGTTTGTGCATCGTGAGTGTCTTCTCTCCAGTGATGCAGGCCACCTGGAAGTGGGATCAACCTGCATCTCTCTCTCTCTCTCTCTCTCTCTCTCTCTCTCTCTCTCTCTCTCTCTCTCTCTCTCTCTCTCTCTCTCTCTTTCTCTCTCTCTCTCTCTCTCTCTCTCTCTCTCTCTCCAAATTCTTTGGTAATGAAACCTTTCACCAACATTGTCCGAAACTAGGCACCATGTACACCCGTCTCAGGAGAAACACTCAAGTATGCAAGTGTATGCAAGTGCGGTGGATATACACGCAAGTACACGCAAGTACACGCAAGTACACGCACTGATTTTTTACTGATTTTCTCTTATACCAACGGTATCACAGTTATCTTGTCGACTTTGATAGCTTCTCTTTATCATCATTCTCTCACACGAATCCACATTCGCGCATTGATTAAGCTACCCACTCTCTTTTTCTGCCTGTCTCTCCATTTCTCTTTCTGTGTATGTGTGTGTGTGTGTGTGTGTGTGTGTGTGTGTGTGTGTGTGTGTGCGTCTGTCTGTCTCTCTTTCTCTCTCTCTCACACTCTCTCTCGCTCTCTCTCTCTCTCTCACTCACTCGCAAAGCATGGATCCACTGCACTTTGTTGTTGAACATCTCAACACGCATGTTGACGTACACTGTATCTCTCTCTCACTCTTTCCCTCTCTCTCTCTCTCTCACTCTTTCCCTCTCTCTCTCTCTCTCTCTCTCTCTCTCTCTCTCTCTCTCTCTCTCACACACACACACACACACACTCTCTTTCTTTTTCTTATTTTATCTCTCTCTCGTTCTATACCTCTCTTATCTCCCTCCCTCCCACCCTCTCTCTCTCTCTCACTCACTTTGTCGTTGAACATCTCAACACGCATGTTGACATACACTGTATCTCTCTGCGTCTATCTCTGTGTGTCTCTCTGCATCTTTTGATCTCTGTGTCGGTCTTTCTCTTTTTCTCTCAACCTGTGTATCTACAATGTGATTTGCTGTAACAAATTCTTTTTGAAGTTCTGTCCTTATTTGACTAGAGTATTGATCACGTATTGATCAAGCTCGGCACGAAGTATTGGCTCGCTTTCTCTCATTCTTACTCTCTTTTTCTGTCCGTCTCTCAATCTCTCTTTCTGTGTGTGTGTGTGTGTGTGTGTGTGTGTGTGTGTGTGTGTGTGTGTGGTGTGTGTGTCTCTCTCTCACTCTCTGTTGACGTACACTGTATCTCTCGTCTCTCTCTCTCTCTCGAACACACAAGCACAAGCCCTTTCTCTGTTTCAGTTTATCTTCTTTTGTTGCTTTCTCATGAAGAACACATGCACACCCTCTCTCTCTCAACATTGATCACTTTTTCCCATCATGCTTTTTTGGTTTCGTTGTGATAGAATATTGTACTACTAGTACTTAATACTGATGTACAACTCTATTCTCATGCAACTGGAGCGTATATGTTCGGGTGCTATTTGTTGTTGTGGCTAAGAGTGCGTGTGTGCGGCCAGCTAGTTCCAGCATGCAGTGTGTTACATTCGCTACACTGTGGTCTTACAAGCACTAATCTACACTACTTCGAAGTTCAATCACAGAGAACCGTATGTTCTAACTTTCCTTGATATAGCTATAAACCGAAGCACAACTGCTGCAAACACTAACTGCCCACTTACAAAGTTGTAGGCAAGATACTAGTAGTAATAACTAAAAGTAGAAGAAGTAAGTAAGACTAGCGGGTTCTTCCACCTGCAGGACAGTATGAACAGGCAACAACATAACAGCACTGCATCGTACATGCATGTAGCCGTGCAGAAATAATGGTATATTTTAGTTGTGAATGCATACCCAAGGCGGAGAGCAGTCAGGTGTAATAGACGCCAGCCATAGACACCATATCTGTGATGCATGTCACATGCGTTCATGATAATCAATGCATCGTGGTTCACCACCATCGAACACAGTAGTACATGTAAATTACACAGAAATAGGAAAATAAATCTAACATACCTCTCTCGTGAAAGAAAAATGATAAATAGCACATGAGTGAGTAAAAGACGAAGAAAACAAGAAGAAAAACATGACAAAAACAATGGCAATTGAATATGACAACTCGGATGGAAAGAAAAGGACCAAGGACCTACAAGACGTGCTAGAGCTGATAGCCAGTAAGTTGCAGAACGTCAGTACTGTCGATCAGGTTTGTGCAATGTTATCGCACGAGCTGATTGTCAAGTAACTGGTGGTGTTAGTGGACATTACAGCGTAACTTGTAGTTCCTTGGTCCTTTCTTTACGATGAATATGAAAACAATCACAGCTCACTCAGTACTTGCACCTTTAACTTCCAGTGGCTCGAGATGATGAACTGCATGCTTGTATACCTTCTACTTAAACTTCTACTATCCGAACAGCACCATCCTTACCTAGATAGGTCATAAGCACACGTCCGAGTGGCCAGTGTGCAATTGCGGTGTGCTCATCCATCACAAGCACGACATCTCCATCTTCGCGTTCCGCTGTTGTAGCAACCACATCACCTGGATGATCAGCTTCGGAAAAATCTCTTTCAGCTAACGTTTCCATACCTGATCTACAATACGTTGCACAAACTCCCAGCGCTTCCTTGGGTGAACTTGAGTCATTGTAGATGTGTTGGCTTCAGTATCAATAGTTGCCCTAGCATGACCAATGAGAAAGTGCTGTGGCAATAGCAGCTGAAGGCCTTCTTTCAGCATTCGCTACATTGCCTTGGCCATTGCCTGGAACACACCACCAAAGGGTGGTGCACTTGGTGGCTTGAAGTACCAGGTAATGTCGCGGTATGACCTTTCTGCTGCTAGTCTGGAGTTGTCGAGAAACTTGGCAGCTACTTTTACCTCTTGATCAGCTACACAGAAATTGGCACCGTTGTCAGATTGCATCTTTTGTGGCACACCACGTCGCATGGTGAATCGGGGTATAAGAGCCAGGAGAAAACCGTCGTTGTCTAGAGATAACCTCGAAATGACAAGCCTTAGTCAGCAGGCATGTAAACACACATACATATCTCTTTGAGCTGTGACCGATCTCGGTCCTGGCGTGCATAGAAGGGGACGATATAGCCGACACCAACTATGGCAAATGACTGATGTGGTCCAGTTGTCTTGAAGTCGGGAAGTGGTGGCATTGCTGGTGTTGCTGTTTTGATATGGCCCTTGCGGCAAAGAACGCACTTGGCCCGATGCCCCCAGGTGGCCTGCATCAC